CAGCGTGGGTGCGGGAGATGCTGGCTCCATGGTGGTCATCATGCTGGAGGTGCTGCGCCAACTGGCCACATCCAGCGAGTCGTTCGAGCATCCGCTTATCTTCCTCTTCAATGGCGCTGAGGAGAATGAGCTGCATGGATCGCACTCATTCATCACACAGCACAAATGGTCCCCCAGCTGCAAGTGAGTGCGAATTAAGTGTGCCATCCGCGTGAGCAATCTCCTAACTCTCGTTTCCAGGGCACTGATCAATGTGGATTCGTTTGGAGCTGGCGGTCGTGAGTTGCTCCTCCGTTCCGGTCCGTTTCATCCGTGGCTAATACGCGTAAGTAGAAACCATCAGCAATGCTTACAGCTGGGCCAATGCTGCTCCACACTCACGGCACTCGCTTATCAGATCAACGGGGCGATATGATTCTTATCAACACCTATTTACACCTGTTCGCAGCACTACAAAGCCGCCGCCAAGCATCCATTTGGAACAGTATTGACAGAGGAAATATTCGAGACGGGCATTATAAATTCGAAATCGGACTTTGGAATCTTCCGCGATTACGGTCCTCTGCCGGGTGAGCGAATATGTAGAGCAACTCGTTGAATCCACTCCAATAATAATCCCCCTCACAGGTCTGGATATGGTGGTCCAATACAATGGATTCGTTTACCACACCAAATACGATCGCTTCGATGTCATATCCCGAGATTCGCTGCAGAGCACCGGCGACAATCTGCTGTCCCTGGTCAAGAGTATTAGCAATGCCAAGGAGATGCTTGATATCAAGGTAATCAAACTACTGATAATATTTTTTATATATTTTTATTTTCATCATTCGGAGTTCAAAGGGGGATCCCTAGTCAACAATCCCGTCCAGAGTCTTCTTGCTTGATATTAATATTTCTCTCTGTCTCGCTCTCTCTTTCCCTCTCTCTCTCTCTCTCTCTCTCTCTCTCTCCTCTCTCAAACATTCCATTTCCCATTTCAGGCACACGCTAAGGAGCGCTCGGTTTACTTTGATTTCTTGGGTCTATTTTTCGTCTCCTATCTGGAGTCCACAGCCATTTTCCTGAACATCGGCTTTGGCGGAGGTGGCATTATCATAGTGTATTTCTCTCTATGGTACATGTCAAACAGATTGGATATTGACATTGGTACCGTGGTCAAGGAGTTTGCTGTTATGTTTCTCATGGAGTTGCTGTCGTTTGGCCTGGCTCTGGGCCTGCCCATGCTCATCGCGACGTTCTACGATGCCGGAAACCGGACGATGACCTATTTCACGAACAGCTGGCTGGTCATTGGACTCTACATTATTCCGTCGATCATTGGCCTGGTGCTGCCCGTGACGATCTACTTGATCATCGGTAGTAGCGTAAGTGCTCGAGTTGAAATAGTTTCCTGCTGATCCATTAGCAAATACCTATCTCTGTCTCTCTTTCTCTCTCTCTCTCTCTTGCAGAAGCGCATTCCATCCAACTATCGCCTGCAGATAGCCGGCCACGCCCATTGCATTTTCTTTGCCTTGTTGTGCATTATGCTGACCACCTCAAGTCTGCGCAGCGCCTACCTCTTGATGATCTCCCTGCTCTTCTATGTGGGAGCACTGTGCATCAATATGATCACCAGGCTGCATGAGCGCGGTATGTTGCCAGCCCTATTCCGCATCGATTCCGACTCTATCTAAGTCTCACATCCGCTCTAGGCTACTTCTGGTCGCTCGTGCTATGCGCCTGCCAGGCCATACCTTTCCTGTACTTCAGCTACTTGTTCTATGCCTGTCTGGTCATCTACATTCCATTGACGGGCCGCGCCGGCACCTCGGTGAATCCGGATCTGCCGATTGCCATTCTCTGTGCTGCGGGCACTATTCTGGCCCTGGGCTTCTTGGTGAGCTGCGCGTAGAGGCAAATATTCATGAATTTGAGTCTAAATCCATTTTATTTCCTTTAGGTCCCACTCATAAATGTTTTTCGTTATCCTGTAATAATCATTAGCATTATGACATGCACGACCTTCTTATTTGTCCTGGTATCCGTTTCAGAGATGGGCTTTCCCTATCGCCCCCGAACGAATGTGATGCATCTGAATTTCTTGGTGAGCTTACTACTTCATTAATATCAGATAGATCATGGCAATTCAGAGATCTTTGTTTGTGCAGCAAGTGAATCGCAAATTTTATGATTACAATGGCTCCATCAGCCAGGAGGACTCCGGCTACTATTTCGGCCTGCAGGACCATCGTAAGGAGCAGCCGCTGCGCGACAAACTGGACCTCTCCGGCTTGGTGGGCTTCGCAGACAATTGCGACTGTCAAATGAGGTGCGGCCTGCCTTGCGGCACTCAACGCTGGCTGCCACGCATGCACCCCGTCCAAATGCCCGGAGACATCACTCTCGAGCTGCTGAACAAAACGATCGTAAATAGCGGCTACTCGATTCGCTACGATTTCAAGCTGGCTGGGCCCGCTCGCATGACCATACACCTGATGCCCCTGGAGGGGGTCAAGATGGTGGACTGGTCGTTTTTGCGTGGAATGCTCGACAGTCCGGCCAAGTACAAGCCGCCGTATCAGATCTCCTTCACCTGGGGCGCCGACAGCTCACCCATCGAGTTCTACGTAGAGTTGACGGTGCGTATTACCCAGACCAAACCAGATAATATTCCGTGTGTCCGCTAACGCTTTCCCTTTGCAGAAGACCAATGGCAAATTCAATGAACCCGTTTTCGAAATTGGCATCGCTGGCCATTATCTGAGCCACGTTCACAAGCGAGATGCGCTAAGCGCACAGTTTATAAAAGAGTTTCCAGATTTTGTAAACGTCGTGGAATGGCCAACCTCTTACGATCGTTATATCTATTAAAAGTTACTGTTTTTATAATTTTGGACTAATAGCAAAATATATGTAAACGTCAAGTGAATGCAATCGAACCATTCAAGTGTATCTCTTTCTCCTCTCCTCCCCCCTCCGTGACAGAAGCTGGTTGCATTCTGTTTGAGAGCAAACAAAAGGCCCTCAATTTGGGCTGCAGCTCAAACAGTCGTTGAGCGTTTCATAACGAGCGCGGAATAAATATTTAAGTTTGAATAGAACTTCTCTAACTGGCGTGGCGTGGCGTGGCGTGGCGTGGCAAACATTTGTGCAAACAGCAGCAAACAGACTGTTGTAATAGCTGCACCAGATATTTGACTCTTCCCGTGCGATGCGTATAAAAGATGCGCATTGGGGCAGTGGAAGACACAGTTCAATTGCAGCAACAATTTGGTGAACAACCAGGGAAAGCTCGATAACAGACAGACAGACATAATGAAGTTCTCTTTGGTTCTATTGGTGGTCTGCGCGTTAGCTGCATCGGTGCAGGCGCAAACCACGGGCCCCGATTACGTCTACAATGATCCGGGCACCGGTTCCTTCAGTCCCAGCAGCTACGACTACTCCAGCTACAGCTATCCATCGTATCCATCGTATGCATCCTCCTATCCGTCCTCTTACTACTACTACGAAGATGATGTGACAACCCCCAAGCCATTCAAGCACCAATTCCTGTCCATGCTCTTCAAGAAAGGATAAGCTGGGTATGCTGTGAAAACTCAGCTCGATAACGACGTCGTCCTCAACCAAATACTGTTAACGTTAAAATGTGAAAATACAATTAAACTTAATTTATAAACAAAAACAAAACCAAAAACACATCAATTATTTCATTTGCATTTAGTGCGGCAGCAGGATGAGTGAGTCTGGGGCGAGTAAATGGCAGTTTCACAAGTCTTGCCCAAGCCCAAGCCGGAGCCACAATGAGCCAATGAGGGCTCATTAACGCCTTTGGTCAAAACTGAGCACGACTCGCCGCCTCCAACAAAGGTCATGTGGAGCGACAGCTAGACATGATCATGGTCAGGTGGTGGGGCAACAATCTGCACTAGTCGAAGTATATACTGCTATTCGTATAATGATGATGCTGCTGCCGCCCTCGCCGGCCTGCATCGGCAACTGCATCTGGTTAATGCGGGCGGATGGGATGGGATGGGAGGCTGGCTGCATTAACTGCCATTGCGCAATTTGATTTCTTGTGGCACATCAGAATATGTAGGCAAAGCCAAAGGCGAAGTCTTTACAAATGTAGCTGACAAATTGATTTGAAATGCGAGACGTGTTCTTTGAATGCCACGATGCAAGTTTATTCACGATAAACATACTCAATCAAAAACTGACCATAATATATATTCATGCTCCATTCACCCAGTACAGTGAAACGTCTGGCATGACAGTCATCAATATGTCTAATGCAAAGTTAATTTCATATATTTGATCAAAAATATTAATGTATATATTTTTACATTTTTGTAATTTATTTACAATATATGTATGTTTTATTTTTTTATAATAATTTTATTTTCTACAATAATAATAATCTATATTCTAACTTTTATTCCCTTTTTATATTTAATTGGAATAACTACATATATATCACTTACACAACTAATTCAACTACATACATATCTCAATTACCTTTAGTGTGAAGCGACTCGCATTTCATTTGCATTTATTTTCCCCTATGTGAACGTTCTTAAGACTCTCGACAGAAGCCTCTATGGAGGCGCCTCGTCAGGTCTATGGGCTGTGAGCAATTTAGCCGACAAATTGCAGAGTTAACAACAACACGCGAACAATGCACTTGAAGCAGTCGCCAAAGATATAATCAGATGCGGCCAGGCTGTAGTGAGTCTGTAGTGAGCTTGGCTTCTGATCTGTGTGCATCTGCCAAATGCTAAACACCCACCAATGGCCAAGCCGATGTCGGAGCGAGACTCGCTCTGCTGCAAGCGCCGCAAGACCCGGCAGCTGTAAAGTTCAAGCATTCAGCATTCGGTTCGACTGCTCGCAACGAGGCAAGCTGCAAGATTTTGCTATAAATATGCAAACCTTTGGAAGAGCTGGTCACAGTTGCACATCGCGACGCTGACAGTTGCCAGTCCAGAGCCCAGCATAGGATTAAAGCCCAGCTAATGCAATACATTGTAAGTGCCAAGCTCTTCGGTCCTCAGCTTCACTGCGGTAACTCATCTTATCTTCTGCCAGTTGCTGACTATCGCAGCAGTGCTGCTGTGCAAGGCGCATGCGCGACCCCAAGGACCTGCCACGGAGCCCATCAAGATCATTCGGCAGGAGCAGGAGGTGAACTTCGACGGCTCCTACAAGTATGGCTATGAGACAGAAAACGGCATCAATGTGGAGGAGGAGGGCTACCTCAAGAATGCGGGCATCGACAATGCAGGACCGGTGAGTTGGTCGACCGCAGACCCCCCAAAGCCATTTGGCATTTGCAACTGTTGCTCCCTCACAAACTTGCAGCTTGATGCTGACAAATTGTATAGGTATTGTAATTAGTTGAATCTGTTTTTCTTTTTCTGCTGCTGCTTTCGCTTTTCTTTGCTGCGCCGGGCTAAAGGTCGCACAGGGCTTCTTTTCGTACACTGCGCCCGACGGCACGCTCATACGAATTACCTATGTGGCGGATGAGAACGGCTTCCAGCCACAGGGCGATCATCTGCCCACCGCTCCGCCCATACCACCGGCCATTCAGAGGGCCCTGGATTACATAGCCACAGCACCACCGCCACCCGCTGATCAGCAGAGCGCCTACACCGCACGCCGAGGCTAACCTAACAGCAAGTGAGACAGACAGACAGACAAACAGAGAGGTGGAGTGAGTGAGCGAGGGCACAGAGACAACGTGAAAATGTTTGTTAACCAAAATTGTTAAGCCATTTATATAAAACAAAAAATCCCTTTCCGCACATGTAAATAAATATGCAAAAATATTAAAAAAAAAAAAAATAACGATTCTTTATAAGATTTTTCTAAAAATTGTGGACAAAATTTATTATAAATTTATCATTATTAATTACTATTAATTTGAGCTAGCCGAGTGAGTTTACTTCAACTCTGCAACTCATCTATGAGACTTCAATGTCAGTCTATTGTATTAATAATAGAATATTAGTAGAAGTATATTAGTAGTAGAATATTAGTATATTAGTAGTAGTATGTTAGAATATCAGTAGTAGTATATTAGTATATTAATAGTAGTATATTAGTATCTTAGTAGTAGCATATTAGTATATTAGTAGTAGCATATTAGTATATTAGTAGTAGTATATTAGTATATTAGTAGTAGTATATTAGTATAGTAGTAGTAGCATATTAGTATATTAGTAGTAGCATATTAGTACATTAGTAGTAGTATATTAGAATAGTAGTAGCATATTATTATATTATAAATTATGTTTGCTACGTTACAATTACTTTATCTAAGAAGTGGAGAGAGTACTTTCGATGTGGCATACGAAAAATGAATGTTAGTATTATTTTAATTAATGTGTTTGAAAACAAAATATTTCATTAAAATATTATTTTAATTACCTACTGTTACTTATATCCAGATTAACTGCGATCTGGCCTAGATTCGATGCCCATCTATCCGCTTATACTGCATTATATTAAAAATGAAATTTGAATAATACAATTTATAATATTAAATACATTGCCATGCTGTCTGCTGATGTCATCTGTTTGTCTATTCAAATCGCTTCAATCATTTGGATTTCATTCAGCCAGAGCCTAGCATACTTTCAGGCATTCGAGTTAAGTTGCCAAGAAACTGGTTTTTCTGGTGTTCTGCGGAGCGAGTCTTCAGCTATTTCGTGCTGTTGGTCGACATGAAAGCGATTAAGACCAATGCTTGCTTAAATTAGTCGGTGTCAAAAAAAATGTCAGCGTTTCCGTGACGATGACGATCATCGTCATCGATGTCGATCATAAAATTAATTCAATAGGCATCCATAAGAAAAATAGCTCATCCGCCTTGTTGCTGCTTGTTGGCCGGAGCTGCTTTCCAGAAAATATGTAGTCAACGCCACATAAATCAGAGCTGCTAATAGATCTAGTTTTGAGTGCTTTGTGCAAATGTTGTTTGTCCGTTGAGACGCAGCGCTGGCTAGTTGGCCATAGCACACATCGAGCGAGTGGATCATCCGCGGACGGACCCGTGGGCGTTGCGAATAGCTCATATATAAAGCTCTGACAGTGGCTAAAACTTCTCATTGCTGATTAAACATGCTGCGTCTAACGGTAAGTCGAGCTGAGTTCAGCTGCGTCGCATTTCGCTGATGCCAGAAGCGCATCCATGTCTCACGTCTGTCACAACTGCAGATTTGGCTGCTCATCTGCGCCGCTGTGGCGCTGGCCCAGAACGACGGCCGCTATCGTCCTGCCCCCAGGCCGATCTCTGCCCTGAGCACCCGAGTTGCTGCCAACGCTGGTCGCTATCGGGGCGGCAACGATGGCCGCTATGTGCCAGGCGACGATGGCAAATATCGCGGCGGCAACGATGGACGCTATGGCGGCAACAACGACGGACGCTATGTGCACGTGGACAACAAGTACCAGCACGACAATCGTCCTGGAGGCGACTACACCGGCGGCAATGATCCTTACCGCGGTGGCAAGGACAAGTTTGGTGCTGGCGGTGGTGCTGGTCGCGGTGGTGGAGGTGGTGGTGGTGGCGGTGCAGCCAACGCAGCGAATGGAGCTAATGCCAACGGCAGAGCTGGTGCTGGTGCTGGAGCCGGTGCTGGTGCGGGTGTTGCGAAGAAACCCTCGCTGCCACGCCCCGTGCCCGTTGTGGACCAGCGCCCCAATCTGCCACAAGGACGCGGCACTGGCGTTGGCAAGAACGGCTGGCTGATTCTGCGCCAAGATGGCGCCGTGGATACCGATGGCTACAACTATCTGTAAGTACACGAATGTCCCTGGACTCCACTAAAACAGGATGACTATTTGCCTCTGCCTTCTCACTAGCTACGAGACTGAGAACGGCATTCTCGGTGAAGAGAGCGGACGCATCGAGAAGCAAACGGAGGGCGATGCTCTACGCTCCAAGGGCTACTACGAGTACACAGGCGACGACGGCCTGCTCTACCGCGTCGACTACGTGGCCGATGAGAACGGATTTGTGCCCGCCGGCGAACATATTCCCAAAGTACCAGAGCACATACCCAGGCTCTTGGCCTATCTGAAGGCTCAAGGCGCCTTGTAAAAAATATTAAATATATTCATTTGTTCGTGTTGTTTCGGTTATCAGAAAATAAAAGAATATTTCGAAAAATCCCTATAGAAAATTCTATTCGTCATTAGGGGAAAAACTGAGGTATTAATATAAAAATAAAATGTATGTAAAATATATATAAAATATACATTAAATAAGTATATACAAGAAAATACATCAACATGCATTTTAAACAAATTTTTTAATTTTTCATAATTTTATTGTTTTAAAATATATTGTGTTGCCTCTTAATATTTTAACTTCCATTTCATTTAGTTAAGATTCGGCACGATTCGTTTTTGTATATATTCCAGAACTTCATTAATCGTTGACTGCACTTTCTGGGGCTGCAAATGAGAGATATATAAATAGATCTGACGATTCCACATTTCCATTTGTTTACTCACATCCTTTTCTGTATTGATATTTGACTGCTCGTAGCTCTGCTGTTGTGGCTGCTCCTCGCAGTTDGGATCGCCCACTGGCTCCGCCTGGGGCTGCTCATATGCATAGGCGCCAGCTGGCTGGGATTGAGATTGACGCTCGGTGTCCCAGAGCCTGTTCTCGTTAACGTAGCTGAACTGGCGCTGATCCTCAGCTGTGCCATCGCCGTCTCGCACCCATTCAAACTGGATTATTTGCCAGCCGGTGCCATTGTAGTTGAAGTCGATCATGAAACGCAGATGATCGCGCGGCCCCAGAGCAAAGTTCTCCTCAGCCTCCTGCACACTGGCGGCCAGCTGCTGCTCGGCCTGCCTAAAGATGCCGCGCAGATCATTGGCATACGGCTGACCTCTATCTCCGTAGCCTCCATTATAGGGCCTGTGCTCGTGGCGATACTTGCCGCTGTTGTCCGGCTGATACCAGCCAACGGCGCCGTGGCCATAGTGACCCCTGGCCGAGGCCGTGGGCAACGGCGGAGTTCCATCCGCTGATCCTGGCGCTGCGCCCAGCTGCAGCAGAAGGCAGGCGACAAGCAAAGCTGTGTACATCTCTCAAACAGTTGAATGCGTTTAAATCTAGATAATCGAATCACTGGCCAGGTTAGTTTCAGCTCAGACGGGCGTCGACTGCCAGCTAATTAATTGTCAGGTTTTATGTTGAAGATGTAGCCGTGTAATTATTTAATTGCCTAGTTTATTCGGTAGTCGCTGCACACGCCACTCAGCCGAGGCGCAAGCAACGCAATGCTAATTGGAATTCTTTGCATACTAACAAGCCATAAAGTGGCTAACTCACCCAATCTAACCAACCCAACTCGTTTCCATTGCCTGCCTACCGCCCCCTTCCCTATACTTAGCCCAATTGCGTCTGACCTTTTGATCGTCAGCGAAAATATCTCAAAACGGAAACCATTGGACAGATGTCGCACAGTCGTACGTGGTAATCCGACGAGGCTGAGTCATGTGTCTCCCTTAGAAATGGAGAGGGTAAGAGGTATAAAAATAAATAGATACAAATATAAGAAATTTGATAGTATTTTTAAGCTATAACTTTCTTCTAACTAAATATCTATAAGCAGCTTATATATAATAATTATATATAATAATATTCACATAAAACAAACAGCACACCCAATGTAAATACTTTAAATCGCCTGTCGGAAGCTCTGTGGACTGCTGAAGCAGCTGAATCTGTTTGCCTGCCGGGCAATTTGCAAAATAACAATTCAATGGATTTGATAGGATCAGAGTTAATTAGTGTCGCTTAAATCAAATTTAACGCTCATAATAAACAATAAAACGATCGTTTGCCTTAATGGGCACTCATAACGATCAATCAAAATGGGCGCTTGGCAATCATCAATCACTCAGACTCAGCCAGTCTCAACATGGGCATTAAAAACATGTTGAAAGCCAATCGAAATGTTCTTAGGGTGACTGAGTGCAAAGAGTGAGTAGTTAAGTCGTGTTGCTCTGTGTGTAAAATCGAAAGTGAAATCCGCCCACAACGAGTAGAACTAATCATAGAACGGAACGGAACTTGGGCAAGATTCAACTTTAACCTTTTGCCTTGCCAGGTCATATTAGTCATAGTCAAATTAGTCGAAAGCCGATATGTTATCAAACTATTCACATTTAACCTCTTACCTTGCGCATTCTAGACTTTACGCGTGGCTTCATAAATGTCTATGAAACATGCCTTAAAATACAATCCACAAAAAAAATAGCCTTGAAATCTTGTTAATATGAATTTCAAAGCTGTTGAACCAGCCCTATAAAAACAATCAAACAATTATTTGTCGGCTCGTAAAAACTGCGACAGTTTTCAGCTAGACTACAAAATTATTGATATATATATATTGTTTAGTCTTTTATTCTTATTTAAAGCAGCAAAACTTGATTCGAATATGACGTACTCTGATGTAGGTAAAGTAGATAAGGAGTTGATTAGATGCAAGCCATGACAATGGGATATCAGGTTCAATACAAAAGCGTTTAGAACTAGAACTAAAGAGAACTATTTTGGTCTAGTAAAAATTTTTTAATGACTATGTTTTGAGGTAAACAACACTTCTTATAACTATAATGGAAATACTTAAAAAGCTGTTACCTTCATTAAAAACATTTTAAAATAGTAAAGGCATTTTAATTTTATATTTATATATCAATGTACTATATATATTTGATTAGAAATATGTATATACTAAATATATTTGCTATGAGTTAATTATAGTATAGAACAGTAAGACAGAAAATCGTCAGTTGGATTAACAACCTGTTGTTTAATTGTTGTTTATGCAAATTTTTGCGCGAAATCTTTTTTCAAATAATAAATTATTTTATATCACGTATACAACTGGATATATAAATACATATACACATACATATATATACACTGCATGTAAATCGGTTGAGTCTTGGCTGCGCCAAATCAAACAATGCGTAATTTGGTGTTTGTTGCTTGTAATTAATTCACTTCGAATTATTCGGCTTCCAGTGCTGAACACACCTGCGGTCTCAACACTCTCCGTCTCCATTTCGGTGCACAAATTATCATCACTTAGGATGACAAATTCAATCGAATGAGTTTGCTGCCGAATTTATGAGCTTTCGGGCATGAGAAAAAATAATTTAATTGCATTTTAGCGGTGGCGCCCATCGGCCTAGACATAATCATATATTAATATATGTATGTAAATTTATTTTTGGCGTCACGACGTGATTCCTTGATTATAAAATAAAACCGCAGCCTTGAACTTAACTGCAATTGAAATTCCTTAAAGCTGAGTAAAAAGACTTGAAAATTTAAAAACCACAAAATTCATTTCTCTTTCACGCGAGCCGCTACTTTATTTAGATTGTAAGTTCGGTATTTATTTCACTCATGAAATCATTAATTAATATTCAATTTATTTAACACCTGCTGATAGGATCAAAGCTGCAGGCTCTACCAAATTTACGAGTCCAGCTTCAGCGTATCGGATTGAATCAACTCTCTGATGCGGTGCTTTGAACTTTGCGTCATTTTCTATAGGTTCTTCACTGGTAAATATGTACATACTTAAATATCTGTGTACATATACACATATATACGCTTGTTTATATAGAAGTGAATTTTGTTAATTAAGTCCCACAGTTTAGCTGGCAATTTGTTATATTGTTCCCAATGCAGTTCGTATAACGCCTCGGGCAATATTTACAATGTGTTTGTTGTATTTTCTAAATTAATTTGTTAGCAAGAACAAATGTAAGGGGCTAACGGCAACAAATCATGCGTCTTAATTGAAGCCATTAAACGTACACACACCGACTGCTACCCGAGAGTCATCCATCTATTTGAGGCGCTGGGCGGTTACGGCTACCAATTTGCACAGCGGTTGCCAAAACCCGCTTTATGGCTGGCTGGGCAATATTTATAGGCATTGTCCGGGCCAGAATATCTACAGATATTTTTTAATATATAGAGCGAGTGATAATTAAACAAACTTAATTGAACTCCAAAACCTGCTTAGACACACACACACACACGCACACACATACGAATCCCGCTGACATTCTTATTGCAATGAATTCGAAAAACCCACGCCCAGAGTAATGGCAATTTATGGCCCAAACCGCAATGCTCAACACTCACCGTATAAAGATTTCAATTGCTACACAAATGTCGTCTGACGTCGACGCAGCAGGTGAAAATACGCATTTATCATAAGTGTTTGGCGAGGTGTTGAATATGGAACTCGAAAATGTTTGAACCCCATGGCAAACACCGTAAAGTCAGCGCCAGCAGAATTGTTTATAAAGAAAATAATTAAATGAGTCACTTAAAGAGATTTTTAATATTTTATTGTAGTTTTTATACATTTTTATAGTTCCTCAATTAAAATATTTAAAATTATGTTGTCTTGATATATAAAAAATAAAATATATTTTAATCATAATATTAGCTTTATAATTTCAATAATTATTTATCAATAATTAATTATAAATAATTAAAAATAAATATTAAGTTTTAGATAAATTTGCAGTTAAATTTTCAGTCATCAAGAAATATTTGTTTTCAACAATACTGTATATAATTCACGTTTGATTTCGCTGGTCTGGCACCTTGAAAGGTCGACTATGCAATACCCTGTAACTTATTTGAATGCCAATAGTCCTGAAAACAATTATTCTAATTTTTATAAACAATAAGCAGAGAGTCACTTAAAATAATTTTAATGCATATTTTATGTTTAACTTATTTCTTTAAGATTAAAACCACAAAAACTTTCAAGTGATTAAACTTATAAGCAACGACCACACACAGAACAAAAATAAGCGACAATTGAATAATAATGAAAAATAAATATCCGACCGGACGTTTAGTCATTCAGAGTAAGAATCGTAATGTTAAACCTCACAGAGCCAACTGCTATGTGTATAGTTTGTGTTTTGACTTCTTACTGAATGCTCGTAGTACTTGTACCTAAGCGAATCGAGTGCCGTCATATCAGCATAGCACAACATAATAATGTTCACACTGATATCGAGTTTCACTGTACTTGCAGTTCTGTGCAGCAGTTGCGCGGCCGACGAGATACTTTATTGCTACGAGTGCTACGAGAGCCCCGGCTCAAGTTCTTGGTCAACTCCACTTCCTGTCTGCTCCAACCTGAAAAGAACGCCCGAATTTACAACACCCTGCCCCAACTCGACAATGTGCCAAAAGACAATGAGCACGATATACCTACAAAACGGAGAGAAATGGGCGATCGAGCAGCGAGGGTGTGCGAATCAAGTTCAAATCGAACAGAAACTAGTCGGTAGACAGTATGAGGATATTGCAGTCATAGAAGAGCCCTACGAGGAGGGCTGCACCCAGTTTGATTCATACAATATGCTGACATCCACGATCGAGCATTGCTTTTGCCGGCAAAACTTGTGCAATTCGGCGACTTATCGCGACCTCGGCGCCTCAACTTTAATCATATATATGTTGTTCCTGTTAGGCAAGCTGCGATAAGTCAGACCTCTGAGCTTTGTCAGCTTAAATGGAAAAGATTATTAGTAGCATAGCAGAAAAGTCTCGTCAATTGCATTTAAGTATCTTTAAGAACATAATGTTGTAGATAATGAAAACAATTCCGTTTCCATGCCAAATCCAATAAGTAGCTTTAAGAAACTCTAATTGAATAAAATCTATACAAATACGAGATATATGCATATATGATGTTTACTTAGAAATTGTGAAATTGTAGAATACTTTCAGTCAGTATATATGTATGTATGTACATCAAGTCAATGCCAAGTCTGAATCAGCGAGTTGGCATATAAAGTTAAAGTCTGGAAAGGCCGCATTCCCTATGCGCAATCAACAAATTGGACTTGTAATTGATTAAAAGCAAGCATATTAAAATATTTATCAAGTATTTGTGATTTTTATGAATGCCATAATTATACTCACTATATAGTATAACAGTATGATTCAAGTGTCAAAAAACCGCAGCAGCAGCCGCAGCAGCAACAGCAGCCACGCGACGTGATTCACAGTGCGCGGGATTTGGGGAGTTGGCACTTGGTGTTCGGGTACGGAACGGAACGGAACGGCTCGGGCCGTATCTCATCGGATCCGATCAGATCGATTTGGCTGAGCGGGCGGGTTCATCGTACGACCTTTGCAGTGCAGTGACGCCTCTGACGTCTCTCTGCCTTGTTCCAGCCTCAGCCTCACCCTCACTCGCGTCGCGTCGCATCGCGTCGCCCACCTTTTCAGGATAGTCGCTGCGGCTGCTTAATCACTGTTTATGTTTATTGTCGCAATTAATCCGCATAATAAAAGATATGCTTGGCAACGGCAGCTGCAGCTAGCCCGTTTGGGGCTAGCTGGCCAGTTGCGAGCCTATCAAAACACCGTTAAGCTAAGCTAAGGACACATACCACACCATCGTCGTCGCATCATCCCGTCACCCCGTCG